CATCTATGATTGCTTTGGATGGTCCACCTAAAGCCGAAACGAGTATCAATGATGAGTAGACTACTTCGAGACGAGGTAGTGGGAAAGGCCGAAGTGACGTCCTTGTTGGAGAAGTTAGCCATCTATCAATGCAAGCAGAGGTTAGCTTATGAGAACGCGGTGTTGATGGCTAACTGTGTGCCTGAAAATGACTTGCCTGAAGAAGCGAGGTACCGGGTATGGCTGAAGAAGACCCGAGGCCTATGACGTCACGTGATGTGTTGGAGGAGATCAATCTTGGCAGCGAGGACGACCCACGTCCTCCTTTCATCAGTGCCATGCTCCCCGAAGCCGAGAGGTATGAGTTAATCAATATGTTAAAAGAATTTAAGGATTGTTTTGCATGGGATTATCACGAGATGCCTGGTCTAGATAGAAAGTTAGTAGAGCATAGATTACCAATTAGTGATGGTTTCAAACCCTTTAAACAGCCTCCTAGATGGTTTGCTTATGAAGTCTTGCCAGAGATTAAGAAAGAAATTGAGAGATTGTTGAAGGCTGGCTTCATCAGGACAGCCAGGTATGTGGAGTGGCTATCCAACGTAGTGCCAGTCAGAAAGAAAAATGGCAAGATACGTGTACGTGTAGATTTTAGAAATTTAAACTTAGCCACCCCTAAAGATGAATACCCAATTCCAGTAGCAGACATGTTGCTTGATGTAGTTACTAGGCATAAGATTTTTTCCTTCATGGATTGTTACTCAGGCTATAATCAGATCTACTTAGCCGAGGAAGACATCCACAATACTGCATTCAGATGTCCAGGAGCCATAGGGTGCTATGAGTGGCTCGTCATGCCCTTCGGGTTGAAGAATGCTGGTGCCACTTACCAATGAGCCATGAATGCTATCTTTCATGACTTGATTGGTGAGTTGGTTGAGGTCTATGTGGATGACATTGTTTTCAAGTCTAAGGTAACAAGTCAACACTTATCTCATCTTCGTATGGCCTTTTTTACGTATGAGAGGCCATAACTTGAAGCTAAATCCACTTAAGTGTGCATTTGGTGTGTCTGCAGGTGACTTCTTAGGGTTCCTTGTGAGCCAACGTGGCATTGAGGTTGATAAGAGCAAAACCAAGGCCATCATTGAGACCATGCCACCAAGTAATAAGAAAAAGCTTCAAAGTTTCCTCGGCCAAGTTAACTACATTCGACGTTTCATCTCGAACTGTGCTGGCCGAACCCAAGTCTTCTCTCCTTTGTTGAAGTTGAAGCAGGAAGATGAGTTTGTATGGCGTCAAGAGCATCAACAAGCCTTTGATGACATCAAGAAGTACCTGGCAACCCCGCTGGTACTCAACTCTCCAATCCCACATTGGCCATTGAAGTTGTACCTTTTAGCCACTAACACCTCTGTAGCGTGTCTGTTGGCTCAAGATAATGACTCTGGCCATGAACAAGCCGTGTACTACTTAAGTAGACTATTAAACGAGGCAGAACAAAAGTACTCCCCAATAGAGAAGTTATGTTTAGCCTTATATTTTTCTTGTATGAAGCTAATTAAGCTACTACTTTATGTTTGTTCAAGTGCAACTCATATGTAAGACCGATATAATAAAGTACATGTTGTCCCGGCCAATCATCCATGGGAGGATTGGTAAGTGGACACTTGCAATATGTGCCTCAAAAGGCCATAAAGGGCCAAGCATTGGCTGACTTCTTAGCTGACCACCCATGTGTGGATGTGCCAGCTGAGTTGGTAGAAATAGACATGGTGGAGGAAGCCTCTTGGACCTTGTACTTTGATGGATCAAAGACACGGTCTGGAGCTGGTGCTGGCATGGTCCTCACTTCCCTATCAGGGCATGCCATGCACTTTGCCTTTACACTTGATATCCCATGCACTAACAATCAAGCCGAGTATGAGGCTTAGTGGTGGGGCTAGAGATGCTTGTTGACTTGAAAGTCAAAAGTGTTAATATCCAAGGGGACATCCATGAGTCGGGAAGATAATGAACCTGTATAACCAGTAGTGGATGAAAGCCACCCTCTCCTTCTGGGTGATAGCTGCCCCTACATCAGCGGGCAAGTATTGTTGGTGCAAACTCGTGAAGGATTGCGACAAAATAGGAGTTTGCTCAGCAAGGGGAGTGGGGTCTGTTGGTGCTTTGGCCCCTAAGGACAAACCAGTGAGGGCGGCTAAGTCCATTAGGGTGATAGTCATCGCACCCGGGGGGGACAAAACAGTTGGAGCCTACAGACCAGAAGCACAAGGCAAGTTTGAATAGCTGAACATCTGGATCCGGAATCGCAGCACAAAGGGCCAATAAACGAGTAATGCCAGATGCCATCCATTGTGCCTTAGTGGTCGTGTCAACCTTCAACCTCTTATACCACTTGAGGAAGATGGGATCACTATTTGGCCACGAGGACACTGGTTTCTTGCTTTTGGTGGGGCGAAAGAACATGGTAGGCGGTATTCTTCTTAGAGGTAGAGAGGGAAGCTACCTCCAAGTGGATACCGGTAAAGTGTAGCAGCACAGAGGGTATTCTCATCAATGAGGTAAGGGCCAAGCTAACCCTCCCCATTTTCTTTCACTTCCAAGAAGTCCATCTTCAACCTTGGTTTCTTACCTAACGCCACGTACTCCTTCTGGTATTTGCTAGTTGCTTTTTGTATCTCTTGCTTGTTTGGCTCGGAGTTAGCCATCCTGCAGCATTACGAGCTCGGAGTTAGGGGGTGGTACTACGAGTATGGGTGTACGAAAAAAATGGCCAACAAAAATAATATATATATATATTGGCGGCTATTCAAAAAAAGAAGGCCAATAATAATGATATACAAATATATGCGCATGAATGACCATATGTATATTAAAAAAAATCCAACAAAAATGTAAACGCATGGCCAAAAGATAAAGTTAGTCATAGGCCATAAAAGAGCAAAAGCAAGGATTGATTACTTGGAAAAACTTGTGTGCCACACGGGTTTGAAGGAGTTGTTCTCTTGAGTGTGGGTTGTTGATGAACGGTGAAAAATGGAGGTTGATACTAGTCTTTATTTATAGAGCTAGAAGATGGAGCTAGTAAATCTTTTCAGTTAAGGAAAAGATTTGATTTAGAGTGTTACAAGGAGAAGGAAATTAAGAGTCCTTGCCAAACATGGCAAGTACCTATTCTTACTTTGATAATCTAAAATCGATAAAAAAAATCCAGTATTTTCTGGCCTTGGTGCCGAAGTTCAAGGTGCGAAGTCTAGAGAACAATAAGAGCAGCATGATTGGTTTCTTCCTCTGACCAAGCTGTGATTCGTGGGTGCATTATGTCCTTATTTTTCTTGGTGATTTCATGAGGGTTTAAGAAATTGAATTGCAAGGCTTGATTGTCCATAGGCCAAATTAATTACATGACAATGTTTCTGTTCAATGGAAACAATAATTGAAGTTTGCATGCACTGCATTTTGCTAGCAGTAGCCGTAGAGGAGATGGGCTTTTATTTATTTGTATACATATTGTTTTGTGGTTCGAGACCAACACTGGTTTGTGGCCAAGGGAGATAGTGGCGGATCTGAATTTGGCGTGGACGATGAGAGTTCTTTAGTACATGTTAATTACTTAGTCCATAAATCTTATGCACTAAGTAGTTGGGGGCATTTGTTTACCCATAAAAATTAACATTGTACCATATCGGTTAAAAACAAGGAATTAAATGGCTTTATAAGGCCAACTTAATCATATCAGTTTAAATCAGTTGAGTGGACCATGGAGATTGGATTTTTGGGCCCATTACTCCGTGCCACCACGCGCGCAATGTATCTCCAAATTTGGCTAAGTATGGGAACCACCCCACGACACGCAAGGGGGGTGGCCACCATCACACCACCCCCAGGACGTGGTAAGGGGGGTGGGCATCATACAGCCACCCTCCAGGAGGTACCAAGGGGACTACCAACATAGCACCCCCATGGTATGATCAGGGGGTGAGGGGTCACCAACGCCAGCTCCCATGATGATGTATGGTGAGAGGGACCACCGATCAGGGGGTGGGGGGTCACTAACATCGGCCCCCATGGAGGATGTCCAATGGTATGGTGAGGGGGTCACCATACCGCCACCCCCATGACATGGAAGATGATGAGGGTGGAAGGAGCACCCCCATGAGGTGGTCTGGGGACCACCAACATAGCACCCCCCATGATATGATCAGGGGTGAGGGGTCACCAACGCCAGCTCCCATGATGATGTATGGTGAGAGGGACCACCGATCAGGGGGTGCGGGGTCACTAACGCCGGTCCCCATGGAGGATGCCCAATGGTATGGTGAGGAGGTCACCAATGTACACCCCCATGGTATGGCCAAGGCAAAGGGGTCATGTGAGCGGCCATTTTTACTCAATGGATAAACAAAACTACGAAGTTGATGCCAAGAGCAGAGGTTGAGGTCTCAAGAGGAGGAAGTCAAGACCGAAGAGGATCCCACATCCAACATCAGGGTAACCGTCATAGCAGTTGAGAGGGTAACCGTCACTCCACGTCAGCAAAGCAGTTTCTTGGGGCAGTTACTTCTGGTGGCTATAAATAGGAGGTGAAGATGCAGAGAAAGGGTTCGCAAAAATCACAACTCGACACCACTTGTCAAATTTTATCTTTTTATCTTTTCCTCTGCAGATTTTAGCCATTGTCGTAGTTTTTGGAGCTTTCACTGAACCTCCATAGGAGTAGAGCTAATTTAATGTAGATTTGCCTCGTAGTTCATCAAAACATTGAACACCCTTCTTTGAACAAAGTTCAAAGAGGTGTGAACTGTGTTGTTTGATCGTTTGTTTGGAAATCAAAAGTGCAAAATCCAATTCTCTTTCCTTTATTTTTCTCGCCGAGAAAACACAGGGATTATCAGTGAATTTGCAGGGTACTTGAGGAAATGGGTAGCCTGGATCCATGGCTGCTAATGTATATCTATTATCTTTTAAAACAATTTGTTGATCATATAAATAAATAGCAAATTGTCAGCAAATCCTCCCAACAGTTTCCACCATCACATCAGAAAAAGATGCCACAGCCTTTGGGCAAAGTAAAAGCAATGGAGAAAAATATAAAAGGGAACCAACAATATCTATGCTCGGAAGGAAATTATGTTCCCAACAATGGGGGCCATACACATTAGCTTTTTTGCTGCTTAAAGGTCACAACCAGCAACCTTATAGTACTCAATCAATAACATAGGGAGAGAAAGGCAATAAACAAATCTTCTTCAGGCAATGGGAGTTTTAAAAGGGAGAAATAGTATATGGCAAGGGGGAAAAAAGCAAAGCCTAAAACCATACCATGCCTGTAATTATTTGTTCAATATTGTCCCCGCCAATATGTCCATGACATGCCTTTGCCATCATTCTGCCCCCAATTCACTTTTAAGCACTTTACCATCAACACATCGATCCCAAAATTTTCTTCTATAAGCTAACCATGCTAGAGCTAGCTAGCTAGACATTGTGATCAACACATCCAAAAAGCCGCCACCGCCAGCACCACAAGAGAACCATTTATAGATGGCAAGTTCGCCACAGAAACACATACCAGAAACTCGTCCCATCGACTTCAGAGCACCACCTCCTTCTCCCGTCGCACCGGGGAGACGTTCGTCGTTCGCCAACGACGATGTCCTCACCGAGTTCCTGGAGCACTCGTTGCGAGTGCCCGACTTGGTCCTCCCCGACAAGATCTTCCCCAAGCAGCAAATCCTCGAAACGCCTCCTCTTGTCGATTACATGTTGCTCAAATATGGCAACTTCCCGCTCATGGATTCGGCTGCCAGGCTAGGGTGCTTCCAGCTTGTCAACCATGGGATTCCCGGCCAATCCATAAGGTCGGCTGTGGATCTGGCTAGTGGGTTGATCTTCCAAGTTCCGCCGGAGAAAAGGGCTAATGTGACTCTGTCTTCAGAGAACCCATTTGGGTTTGAGGAGATCACTACTGATCATGATCAGGAAGATGATCAGAGGAGTGATAGTAATAATACATTGAGTGAAGAGTTTGTTTGGTGTAGAGATGAGAGCTTCAAGTTGGCTATGGAGGGAATCTTGCCTTTTACCTACTCCATTTTCAGGTAAAAAAAAAGGTTGATTCAATTCAGTTACTAATGGAAGCCCTTAGCTGTTCGTTCATATATGTCAAAAATTGAATTCCTGTTCTTGTTTTGAATATGGTCCGATTAGTGACAAAATGGAAGCCCTGATGTCCAATATTGAAACCTTGGGTGAGAGGATTCTGCAAATTGTGAACCAGTATACAGAGCAAACATTGGCAGATGGAAATCAGGATCAGGGTCAGAGTCGAGGCTGGGGATTATCCGGTTGCTATCTGCGGCGGCACCGGAGGAATGTGGCGGCGGAGGGGTGGGAGAAGGCGTTGAGGTATGACGTGATAAAGATGCTGATAAGGGGAACTGACTACTCGCATGCACTGTGCTTCCACATTTGTGACGGTTTCTCGGAGTTTCATGTTTACTCCAAGAAAGGATGGATGTCTTTCTCACCTGAGAAAGATGCTCTGGTGGTCACTATTGGAGATCAAATTCAGGTAACCAAATTTTTTTTTTTTTTGTTTGTTTTAATTTATACCTTTGTTGGGTAATTTGGCAAGGATTTAGATTCGATTGAGTTGGTACAAACTAATTTGCAACTTCTGTAGTTTTGTTGGGTTATTCGATAACTATGTTTAATTCATAAATCACACTCAATTGAGTCTTGAGTTTCAACCTGATCAAATGCTAGCTAATCTGAGTGTTCTCGTACTCTGGACACAAACTTGGGATAGGCTCCACTTTGTCACTGAAGGATTTGATTGATCGAAATGAAACATGAGAGATTTCAAAGCACAAAATATGAAAGTTCATAAGTATAATCGGATTCTATTTGCCGAAGAATTTAATTAGAATGGTATCGTCGGAATTCTCAAAACTAATTAAACCACAACTTCAGAGACATCTTTGAGTCTAATCATGTTCACTGATAATGTGTTTATTAATTACGGCAATATTCTTTTTTATTTATGTTAAAACAGTCACTCATGCCCTTCCTTCAAATGCTTTTGTATAACCATATGATCGTTTCTTCTACTTTAAGAGATTCGGGGGAATGATTAATTATGGATTAGTGTCTTTTACAAGTCTTGTCTTACAAAAATGCACCTCCAGGGTGATCATCATTATGTCTGTTAATCTCTTAAACAGTGCAATTATACTCTCCCTAATCTTTAATCATAATCACTGCTTTTTCTTTTGTGTTGTTGTGTCCTCTCCAGGCTGTGAGTGGTGGCCAGTTCAAGCATGTGCTAGGGAGGCCAATCTTTAAAAGTGATGAAGATCATGATCATCAACAACATCATAATAACTCTAATATTTCGATGGCGTTTCTGTATTCTCCACCGCCGGCAGCCACCATAAATGGTCACCATGGCAGCAGAAGTGCCAGTCAAGTTGAAGAGGAACACGCAATATTTACAATCAGGCAGCAAGCTCTGGCAGCTCTTGTTTTGGCTCTTGTGTGCAAGTTTTTGGTTTATATTTATAAGAAATTTTGATTTTGATTACATATATAAATGGCGCTTTCCATTTTATCTTTGGGTTTTCTTTTGTTTTGGGGTTTCATACATGTAATTGATGAGGTCTTCAGTTTTTACATTTTGTAATTGGAGGAATCATAACCAAGAAAAGAAGTAATTGAACTTCAAGAAGGAATCTAAAATCTAAAAATACATATAAGTGTTTTCCCAAACTGGTATTCAGAGATTCAAATTTTACTATCACTGATGTTGTCATGTCATCACCTTATCTCTCCTGCCTACCCATCAGAATTCCTTCTCTCTTCCCTCCATTCCCAATTCCAACGAAACCTCTTCCCCGTTCCGCCGCAGTCATTTTTGGTCCCCGTTTTCCCAATTTGCAGCCCGTGTCTACTCCTCCCACCGGTCACACAATCCAAACGCCAACTTCCCTTCCCATCTCGGTAGTTCCTCGAAAGTTTTCTCTTACGTGAAACAATCATTAGACATTCTCTGAATCAGTTGTGCCTTAACTGTATATAGTATAAACATGGTGTGTATTTCAAGTTTTAAACTTTCGTTTCATGTCTCAAAAACAGAGTCACTTTATCTTTTTCTTATAATAGTAAAAGTGATGGTGCTTGTATATATATGACTTGTTTCGAAGTACAACACTTTGATCAACAAACTAGAATGAGAGTTAGAGTTAGCATTAAAAAAACTGATAAGATGTACATACTTTGCTGCAAATTTGACTACCCAATCAACTTTTGGAATCCCAATACTCCACATATGCCTTGCAAGAGATTAATTTGGAAGCTCATTGTAAGCAACAGTGTGAATTTTTGGAATGTTGTAGTGATTTGCCCGGGAGATGGATCTTCTATCTTCTTCTCGCTAGATAGATGAATTCCTAATCATACACTTCCTCAAAACTTCTCAAACACATTCTCAGCAACAAGGGACAAGTATGCTCACTCAGAGACATATTTTCCATTGAAGAAGATATTATTCTTTTGTGGATTGAGTTATCGATTACTTTCTGTGGTGTTGCCCAACTTCCTTTCGGACTTTCAACAACCTCTTAAGTAGCATTTCCATCTTTTGGTTCCCAAATAGTCAAGATCACAACTTCCATTACTGCCTGATAGAAAATTTCAGGTGTGCATTTACTATACCAAGCTTTCTAGTGATAAATTTACAAGACTTTCTTTCCTTCTACTGCAATTTGGATCCCTGTTGTCCCAAGTAATATTGTGCATTTTCTTGGTTGGTTTTTCAAGAGAAAATTCTCACGCAAGATCGATTTAAAAAGAGGTTGGCAGATACCCCATAGATGTTGATGTGTACAAGCACATAAAAGCAATAACCCCTTACTAGTACACTATAACTCTTCAAGAAGTATATGAGATATATCTTCTTTAGACTCGATGCTAAAGGACCCATCGTCGTGGGAGTTCATTGCAACAACGAAGTCACTTCACCAAGGGAGTAAGATTATCACAATCTGTTAGATTCATGTCGCATGTTATCATTTGGAACATTTGGTTAGAGCGAAACTCATGGAATTTTAGATATAATAGTTGTACATGGGACAAGGTAATGCACAAAGTTGTGAACAATCACATCAATAAGAGTATTGATAAGGATCTTTTAGATTGACAACAAGTACAAGCATTCAATCAATTTTTGCTCAATAGAGCAACCAACCTTTTTTCTCCTCCCTAATCATTCATCTTATCGTTTGTAACACCTCAACCTAAAGGTTGTCTTCATCTTTGTTATAACGTTTATTTCAAATTGATTTAATTTATACTTAGTATCATGTTGCTGTTACTTTTAAACTAAAATGGCTCATCGCGAACTAACTTGCATTGTTACAAACAAATCTTCCTTAAAAAAAAGATGGACACACTAATGACCCATGAGCTCCCTACAAAAATACGTGACATTTGCAGAATGACAAATATTTTTGGGTGTTAGATAATGCACTTAACATGCATATGGTCTCATTTGCCCTATAAGGTGGGTTATCTAAAAGAATTGGGCTCTAATAACATAGTGGAAGCCATATAAATCTAGTTTAAAGCACCAAGTGGAATCCATGACTCTATGTAAAGCACTAATCGAAAACTAAAATTTAGTTTAGAGTATCAACAGAAAACTACAAACTCGAATAGGATCATGAGATGAAAACTATAGCCCTGAAACTAGACTAGATAGTCAGGATGCAATAAAAAATACAAGGTGTATTTGGATATGAGAATTTGGATTTGATAGTTGGAATTTTGAATTCGCTAAAAAATGAACACATATAAGCTTACCAATCCTTGCTGAGAATTCCCTTATATTGTTTGCCCATTTAGCGCATCCTTAAGGCTGGAACCAAGAACATGGATAATGATTTAATGAAAGAGACTCACAAAAGCTCTTGAACACAACTTAGTATGCACAAAAAGGATTTTTATTTTTCATTCCATGGTTGCACATCACACATTCAAATGGACCAACATAACCTCATTTAACCCTCTTGTTCCTAGTATGAATTCGTTTGTTCAAAATTAGCCAAACTAAAAACATGTTGTTTAGTATCCCCTTGCCTTTCCACACTAAAGAAGGTTGCCTTAAATGTTTTGACGGAGTAATTACTCATAACATCTCCATTTCAAAGGACCGGATCATGAGAGATAGAGAAAAAAACTTCGCGGCTTCTCCAACACCTTCCTAATATGCAAGCAGTTCCATGAACCAAAGTTGCTAATAGAGAACTAGAATTTTGTCTATATCATATAACAAATTTTGATCCTGGAAACCAATATTGTCAAAACCGAATCGGAGTAAGACCCGATATTGTAAACGGCTCACACTATAGTAGTCCAATCAGTTTTGAGCCGTTAAAAAGCCGTTAGAGAACCAGTACCTTTAAAAAACAGTATCATAAGTAGAAGAGAAATAAAGTAGTAAATTAAAAATCTAATGGCTAAAATGAAATTTACTTTACATGTATCACTTAGTAATTTTACATTATATATAACAACAAAAACTCTACCACATCTCATTCCTACCTAATGGCAGCGCCGCACAACCGCTTCTCTCTCTTTCAAGTTCCAACTTCTTCTTCCTTCTTTCATCAAAATAAATCTTCCTCTCTCAAAATTCATAAACACAACCAATTCTCTATTTTAATTTCTTCATCTCAATTTCACCATAAACGATTGATTTCCTTCATCCCTCTCTCTACTTCGTCTCTCCAACTCTAGATCTGCTTCTCTCCTATTACTTGTTAATATCTCCTCTTCTTTCTCACTCGAGACAACAAGAGGAAAGCAAAAGGAGGACAACGACTAAGAGACGGATCTCGTCGGCGGGTTAGTCGATGGGTTGCTGGTTGGAGCCCAGAGGAGAAGTCGAGGAAGGTCTGGAAATCACCCCGCTCGACGCGAGTCAAATAGGAACCCATAAATTTTTTGTCAATATTTTTTTATTTCAAACGGTCAAATAAAAAACCGGTAAGGTGATTCGAGCGGTTTGAATGGTTAACCATTTGGGCCGCTCAAAAACCAACCTTCCTAACCGTCGTGGCTTTTGAAGGGTTTTGGGCCGGTCTGATGGTCGGGTGCTAGTTTTACTAGTCCAACCAGCTAGCTCACGTCGGTCTTAATAACACTGCTTGAAACCCATATTAACCCTTGCTAAAATAGAATAGTGATGTAGTAATCAAGTTATAAATCTTGATTCCCTAGGGTCATATTCCACGAGATCTTTTAATAATAACTACCCAAACCTAACCAAATTGTACTCAAATTATAATTCAAGAAAATTAAATATGATGGGTTGAGGTGATCATACAAACTTCTAATATACTAATGCAAACAAAGAAATAAACGATGCAATGCAACAAACTAATATTTAGGTAGTCATGCCTAGATGATCATACATACTAAATGATTGTTCTTGTGTGATCGAGCTATTTATAAAGTGATGCACACTCTATATTCAATCCTAACTAAGCCAAGCATAACCTCGCTAGGGTTGTAGTAAAGTGGCTCGCTCATATTCCAAGGGAACCCTAAGCTTACTATTCCTTCGCTTCGAACTACTATCTATTCGAATCAAAAGATTGGTGAAGAATCTATCTAATATACTCCTAAAGGTAAGATAAAAACCACCCAAGTGCTTGGGAGATTGCTAGAGATGAGACAGTTCCCTAGGGTCGAATCCTCCTAGTTATGGTTGTCATGCAGGGTTAAGCGAATGTGGTGAGTAAGCTCTTCTCTGTGGGCTTTCATGGTTATCCACACGCCTCCCCTAAACACATGTCAGTCACCTCGATCGAGGATATCGTATCTGGGGTATTAAAAACATAGCTCATTTCAATGGGTACTACCCATCGTCCAGACTGAGGTTTCATCCCGAGTTCTATCAAGGAATGCATTCTTATGACAGGGGTACGGTCGTCTCATCTACCACAAGATCACATTCAATCATCTAACCCTAATTTGCAATATGGCTTATACCCATCTAACCTAAAACTCCACACCTATGGTAGAAGCTCAAGTAGGTTAGTAGAGAAGATTAGGGCGACTTATCCAAGCACAATTAAAACTAGAGAAGAAATCAAATCAACTAGATAAACACATTCATACAAAACCCGTGCATACACAAACTATAAACTAGGGTTCATCTTCCCTAAACAACCATTAGAGATTCAAGTCATAGAGAGAGAAAGAAACCACAAACTATAAGAGAGGGAGTGATGGAATCAATCGTCTTCTCCTTGCTTGCACCTTCTTGCTCCTTGGGGGGATTGGATCTTCAATTAACCTCTCTCAAGGTGTTTCCCTCTCTAAAAAAATTCAAAACCCTAACTTTCTCGTTCTAGGGAGGCTCCCTTTGTTAAGTGCTAGAAAAGGTGTTATTTATAGAAAGCTGATGGCGGTCAAGGGCTCCAGGGCGTGACCCGATGGCCACGGCCGTGACCACGCCATGACCTGGCCGTGACCAGCTAGAACATCTCTTAATCGCTTGAAACGACGCATTTTTACTCCGTCTTTAAGCTCCGAGATTGCAATCACCTTCATAAGATCGCGGCCATGATCTTTGTGTCACGAGCGCGATCTTTTTTGCGGTGAAAATGCACCATGTCTGTGATTCGACTAAGGAAACTCTTTGTCGCGTTCTTCT